GGGGGGGTGTTGGGTTTTGGGGGGGGGGGTTTTGCATTGGTTAGGTACTTTTATTTATATTAATATTATATTGTGTTTTTTTGTAAATTTAACCTTTTTTAAGATTTGGCTCATTTTTTTTTAACAATAGGTAACAAAGGACTGAAAACCAATGACCAATGTATACTGTATACAAAGAAAATAGATACCCAAAGCCCAAAGTCAAAGTAAAGCTAGTGACTAGTGACAAATAGTTTTATTAGTAGTGATATCAACTATGACTTTATTGTCTATATCATTATATATTGATTAAATTGCTATTATATTAATAAAGAATACAAAATCAAATAGACAGAAATAAAAACTATGTATAATCCTTGGCCTTGAAACATACTTATTACTATACACAAAGAGTACAATCTTGTATGGCTCCTATAATAAGTAAAAAAATTACATCTTGTAAATGTCTAGGAAAATTAACAAAAATCTCTCCCTGCTAGGAAAGCTGCCTGCTTATTTATAAGGAGGCAGTAAAACTTTCCAGAAAATAAATTCTAGAAATTGCATCACCTGATAGTACTCTATTTAGAGCAAATTGAACATAAACAACCTTTCCCAATCAAAATGTTGATGGAGCGCTAAAAATTTAACTGATGGCTTCAAAACTCAAAACAAAATAAGGGGGAGACAAGTGGTGATCACCTCATCTCTACATTGAAGTAAAATAAGGTCAAAACATAGGCTATACTATAACAGCATTATTATTGATAATGGCTCCAGGACATTATCATTTTTTTATTTGGCAAATATGTATACTAGTAGTACATTACTACTACAAGACTCTCTAGACAAGTGATTTTTACCTTTTTGACACAGAGCCCTTTTTTAATATCCGTTTTTATGGGGGAGCCCATTAGACCTACCTTTTTTTAATTATGCAAAGGCTTAACAAGAATTTTAGGAGTGTGGGTAAAGGATTCATTTTTATGAAACCCATATCAATAAAAATACAATTAAAGCCCCTGAGAAGTACATGCATGGTTGGGAAACACTGCTTTAAACAATACTAATGATAATATTAATTATTAATTTTAAGTTCTACAAAAATTGAATTACCTTAATTTGCTTGTGGGGGAACCTAAACCATGGTCACCCTGAGCAAATAGTAGAGAACCTTTGCTCATCTCTGTCCTACTTTCATTCTCTATTTTGTTGTTTGGATGTGTTTGCTTCAAATGTCACTCATATTTCAACATTCAATTAACAGACAAGTCGACGATGGTTACAGCGTAGATCTTATATTTATCTGCTACTTTGATTCACTTTCACTCATCTCGCACTCAGCCCTGACTTCCTGGTTTGTCACTCTCTCTACTGTGTTTCACGACTGTCCTCTACTCCTATCCGGCGTAGTTCTATCTCCCAACTGTCCTCTTTCCTGTCCGGCTGAGCTCTCCATAATCCCATCTAATGGTACCCTTTTATAAGTCCTTGAATTTTGTCGTGGCATCTCTAGAGATTCCTTCCTAGGGCTAATCTATTTCTACATCTCTGGTACTAAAATTTTCCCTTCATGTAAATGGACATAAACTAGCCACTACTGTCACCATATTGGTCATATTAGACTTGCCCCGGTGCAATCCGTCACCTTTGACAGTTGTAGATGGCGCCAGTCTGTCCTACCTAAGTTCCCCCACCATTGGTTTGCCTGGACATTACTCATTAAATGACCACCCACCTCTACATTCCAATGTCTTGTATTATACTACTGTCACCATTAACATCGTGGTGCCTTAGTCCGTGTGCAGTCTGATATGCCATGACAGTTGGTCAGTCTTTGTACTGTGGGTTTTCCCCCCACCCTTTTACCACCCAGGTCAACTACCCAGGTCTGGACAGGATTGTTTTAGTGCAATCCAGATAACAAGGTACTATGCTACTGATAACTGGTCCTGAAATGTTAGCATATTCAGATATCCTACACCTTCTGTGCTTTGAGAAATAATGTCTGTTCCACCCTAAGTAAGATTTCAATAAACTGACCTTTTGCAGATGGTTACTCAGGTAGCCAATTGTAGGCAGTTAGTAGTTGTGTATTAAGATGGTTAGAGTTGGGGTTTCCTTAATAAACATATATCCTACACCTTCTGTGTTTTGAGAAATAATGCCTGTTCCATCCATATAAATTATATAAGGGAGAAGAAAACTCTGGCTGTTGTTGTCCCTATGTAAGTTATACTTGATTATATCTAATAATATTTATTGTTCGTTTTATTTTTCCAGGGAGAAAAATGGAAAAGCTTGGGTAGCATACAAAACAGCTGGTAGGTAATTTGTATTATATTATTGTAACATCACTGGTAAATCACAATTAATCCAATTAAAATAGATCTATCTGTATGAAAAGGACAAAAACAAGCCCCCAAAAATCCTACTCTTTAAAAAAAAAACAATGGGAAAATAACACAAACTGTAGCTGTAGTTTTCAACCATTTATTCTAATTCTATGCATATCGAAGATCAGACTTGAGTCTGCAAGTTATAAATGATCCAACTCAGCTCAGGGCCTTTCAGAGATGGAGAGAACCTGACAAACTAACAAGTTTTAGCCCCCTTCTGTCTTATCCCGCCCTACCCACAGTAATGTCACTTTGAAGATTCCCAGCAATCTCCTTTTTTGGGGAGGCTTT